TTCAAATATTGCTTTCTCTGTAAGCTATAGCAAAGTAATTCTCAAACTACTTTACATGAAAATAGCATTTCATGATTATGTAAGTTTGAATAACACTGGACTAAATAAAATTAAACCACATTTCTTTACTGCAGAACTTCTCTGAGCCTTTAACATGCCAAAATAAATTGTGATCAACAAAATAAAGGTGTATTGGATTAAAACACAAAGTATAAAACAAATATCCATGAGTCTATACTCATATAAATAAATGATTGAATAAATAATTAAGTAGGGAAGAAAAGACAACTCTTCCACGCAGAAGAATTCCAAATAATTTATATAGATATTCCTCCCTTAAGGACATATTTAAGGAGGAGGAACATAATTCCCCACTCCTTAAGTGTGGTCTAAACACAGTGACTTCTTTCCAAAGTGTGCAGTATGGAAAGATGGAAAAAAAGAGTAACATTACAGTGGAGAGACCTCACAAATATTACCTCAGCCAGGCGCTCAAGGTCAACATCAACAGTGAGAAATCATGTTGACAGCATGTATCATGATATGGTGTGATGAATGTAAGTGGAACTTTACATCTGTGATCTGCCTCAAAAATAAACCCATAATCCCAGTCTATTAATGAGAAAAACATCATAAATTCCAACAGAAGGATCTTCTACAATATACCTGAACTTGACAGGTCATCAAAAACAAGAAAAGTCTGAGAAACTGTCATGGCCAAAAGGAGCAAAAGGAGACATGACAACCAAATGTAATGTGGTATCCTAGGTGGGATCCTGGAACAGAAAAAGGACATCAGGTTAAAACTAAACAAATGTGAATAAAGAATGGACTTTAACTAATAATGATGTATCAATCAATATTCATCAATTGTAACAAATGTGCCATACCAATGTAAAATGTTAATAACAAGGGAAACTGGTATGGGATCTATGACAACTCTTTGTACTAGCTTCTCAAAACTCTTCTAAAAAAATCATCTATTAAAAATAATAAAATAAATTGTGATTTATCAAGAGAAAAGCAGTGTGCCTCAATTCCCAAACTTATCTGTCCATGGAACCCTTTTTGTGGTACATTTCTCAGGGTTAATATTCAGCAGAAAATACTCTGGAAAATGCTGATGCAGAATAAGAAGCCTTATAACCCCATCAGACCAGAAAACTAACTACCAATTTAGCTTGCCCCCAACTGCAGACAGCTGATTTACATCCCAACTCTGAAGACATAAGCAAGAGCTAAATGATGTTAAAATAACTCCAGAATAAGAAGCCTTATAACCCCATCAGACCAGAAAACTAACTACCAATTTAGCTTGCCCCAAACTGCAGACAGCTGATTTACATCCCAACTCTGAAGACATAAGCAAGAGCTAAATGATGTTAAAATAACTCATAAAACTTTCATAGAAAAAAAAGAAGTGGAATTTCTCCAGAATACAAATCAAAAATATTTTTTTAGCCCACATTTTACTGAATAAAAAGGAGGAAAAAACACTAACTGGATTTTTAAAAATTCTTTTTGATTGTAAAGAGCAAAGACTACCCTGATAAGAAACCACCTGTACACTGCTCCAAAACTTCCTAGCCACCTCCCTTATATGACAGAGCACTTTCTACCTCGTATTACAGAGACTTGCATCCAAATCTTATTTCAGTTACTAAGCCATGCAGTTACCTGAAGGCAGATCTGTATCTAATTTATTTCTGAATCTCCACAACATAGTGTCTTCTACTCAGGAAATTCAGTAAATATCATTTAAATCAACATTGTAATACTTGGTAGAAGAGACAGCAAACTCTTTTACTGTTAATCCAACATAAACTTACCAAGCTCCTGCTACATAAAGTTCAGTGAACTAGACACAACAGGTATGTAAAAATGTTTTTAAGCTGTTAATTCTTTCAGGAGGCATTTAACAAAAGTTAGAAATATATATATAGAAATTACTAAAATGGAATGCAATTCACGATAAGGGCCATAAAATGATAGAGAGCTATAAGAATTCAAGAGAGGAGACATCCTTTCAACAGGGCAACAATAACATCAAAGAAGAGATGCCATCTAAACTAACCCTCACAAAACAGATGGGATTTCCATAATGCAAAGCAGGTAGAAAGGGCTTCCCAGGTTAGAAAAACAAAATATAAAAAGTGTTAATGATGCAAAAGGAAAAGGCAAAATGATTCACTTGGACAGGCACATAGGACAGTTATAAGACAGAAGAGATTGACAATGTGGAAAGGGAAGCTGGGGACAGATAGTAAAAATTTTTAAATGCTGGGCTTTGAAGTAGGAACTTCATTTGGTAGCCAGTTGGGAGTCACTGAAGGTTTGTTAAAAGGCAGTGAGATACATTATAAGAGTTCATCTGCTTGTAATTAAAGTGAATAGTATTGAGACTACATAAGGAGATGGAGAAAGGGAGACTGAAAGTTGGGAGGTGTAAGACTAAAACAAGGATGTGAATTAAAGCACAATGTCTGAAACAAAGTAAACACTCAATAAAGGATAGTCATCATTATCAGCATTGTCATCATCATTGTTGTGATCACTATGGTTACAGCTTTGGTAATGAAAAGAAAGACTATAAGACTATAAAAGAAATAACTGATATAACTTAGTGACTATCTGGATATGGAAAACTGAGGCCAAAGATATTTCAAGTCTAAATTACTATAATAATCATGCATACCCATTAACAGAAATAATATCAGGAAGAGATGCTCATTTTAGGAAGAACACAGTAAACTCACAGTTTGATCTCACAGAAGAAATGTACATCAGACAGTTGATCATGGAGGACTGGAACAAAAAGAGATGTAGCAGCAAAGAAGAGGGAAGCTGTGGAAGCTTGAATGAGATAATTTGAATATTCTTAATAAATAAGCTAAGGACTAGAATGGCAGATAAAATGGAAGCCTGACGCCTAAAGGGGCAAGAGATTATGAAGTACAAGAGAGAACATAATGGAATGACAATCACGAGATCCAGACTAAGTATCTTTCCTGCAAAAAAAAAGAGAACTGCCCAAGAGAACAGAGAGCTGAAAAACTGTATGTCTCAAGGAGAACAAACATACGGAAATAGACATTTACTGGTAGAAGCAGTTATTAGTGTGACCGTGGTTAAAGGATCAATTAGTTCAACAATCATTCACTGAGAGTGTTCTCTGGCTAGGCATTATGATAGATGCTGAGGATAAAAAGCACAGTCCACTCTCAAAAAACGAATAATTTAGTGCAGGGTTGGCAAACCTTCTTTAAAAGGGCAGAGAGTAAATATTTTAAACTTTGCAGGCCATAAGGTCACTTTTGTAACTACGTAATTCTGTTATTGTATTGCAAAAGCAACCATAGACAATATATAAATGAATGAGCAATACTATTTTCCAACAAAACATATTTTATTAATTTCTATAATTTTCAGGTGTCACAGATATTATTATTTTGATTTTTTCATCCAGTTAAAAATGTGCAGAAAAATTCCTAACTTGCCAACCCTTTTAAAACAGGTAGCAGGCCAGACTTGACCCATGGGCCGTAGTTTGCCAATTCCTAATGTAGGGGGTAAGTCCAGAAAGGAAAGAGAGGAGTACCATACATTTATACATACACTTACCCTTCACATATATTCTCAAACACTAGCAATAGGCTTTAAATTCTTAAATTATTATTTCTTCTCTGTCTCTTCTCTGCAGTCATGATAGAAAACCAACCATTATGTTTTCTTTCTTATACCTAATATGCTAAAACTAATACTTTCTCTATATCTTTTAGAAATTTTCAAATTTTACCAAAAAATTTAGACCCGAAACCTTCTTAGTTTTATTTTCTTGAGTTTAAATCTTTACAACAAAAGACCACACAATTCTTTCACCCTGTATCATTTAACTATTATACTTAATGACAAATCAATAAATAAATATTATGATACTTAGCCCTAAAAAATACCACCTAAAGACAGAAATATATTACACATTTCCTCAAATATCTCCATGTTTTTTGTTTATATTGCCTTCTTTCACCATCTAATATTGAGGATTTTTAAATAAAAATAAAAGTTGAAAAACAAAAATTTGCTTAACATCCACTGCTGTGGAAAAAGGTAACTCAAAGCAGCAGAAAAATTTCAAGAGCAGCAGAACCATGATGTTAATCGTTGAAGTTGAGTGATGAGTTCATGGGAACTCTTTAGGATGTATGTGAAACTTTTCATTATAAAAAGGATTTAAAAATCTATTTCTGAGGCTACGGTGAAGAAGGAAGGTAGACTCTCACTGTGATATTAATTAAATGCCTCAGCAGCGACAGTCACAGAGTCCTACCAACATCGTGGGGAAGTCTTACAAACAAGACTGAGCCAAAGGGAGGTGATCGAGGCTGTGCTGAGGTGAAGGACAGTTGAAAGAGTTAGGGGAATGTGATAGAATGCATTGAGTTTCTATTTTAAAAGCTTTTTATAGTTTTTCTCCTTAAATTATTTTATTTTATCCTTTTAAAATGATTCTTAGTGGTTGCCAGCCCATTTTGATAGCAGATTCATTTGAGTTCTGTAACAATAGAATTAGCATGTGACAACCTGCTGTGAGAACAAATATATTTCATATACAGTACAAAAACAATGGCTTCAAAAGTCAAAACTTTTAGGGAAGAGGGTGTCAGTTCATTCATATTTCATTCCTTTAATATCACAGGGCTGAGGAATAGATTATCACATAATACTTAAAGCACATTTTAAATTTCAGGCTAGGATGGTATGTGATTTTTTTTCTTCTTCTACTCAATTTTTTCCATGATTACTATAGTTAAATAGGTATAATCCTTTGTTACTGAAAATAAAAAGGAACAGTATGCAAATACTGTTAACATCACATTAGTGGTTCTTATCCAGTCTTTTATATAATGAATAATATATATTTCTGACATTAATAAGGATCTTCTACTCTGTAATATATAACTCAGCATGAAAAAATAAAATGAAAATGAACAATAGCCAACCTGTGCTTTCCTCATGTATACCAAAGGTTCTTTAAGATGTTCAGGAGGTGCAGCAGGATGACTAGGTAAAGGAAACCTAGGAGCAAAAAGAGGCAGCTAAATATTATACATTACTCTTGATAATTAATTCTCCTGGTTAGAAATTACTTACCTCTATAATCCATGTCATAAATAAAATAGAATGTTTGTTAGTAGTTCTATATGTTTATACAAGGTGCAATAAAACTTTAATTTTTATCCTACTAGTATTGAAGTTCTATATTAAAATTTTAACTACATGTTAAAAGTCAGATTGCATGATAACCTGTATTCACAAACTGAGGTAATTCTAAAATTACCTATCTCTGTAAATGCTCACATGAAAATTGTCATAACCATTAACTTTGGCATACAATATTTTAACATTAACAGGAATTTTTTAAAGGTAAAAAAAAAAAATCCATTAACTTACCAATATGTCAACTCATTTCATTTCTCCCAACTTCCCTGTTCACGTGATTATATATATTTTTATAAAATCGAAATGATAATATAAATACTATTTTTGGTAACAGCCATGTTTTAATACATAATACACAAACTCACAAATTTAGCAAAATTTAAAATTTTTAATATATTATAAATTACTTCTGTTTTCCAAGTAACACTACACTTTATATCAGAATGTATTGTTTTTATAAAGAATATAGATTCAGTTAGTCAATAAATATTGGAGCAATTCTAGGTACCAAAAATATGGTAGACAATATCCCGTTTTCTAGTAAAGAAAGGCAGTCAATAATTATGAAAAGAAATAATAAGTAGAATAATATCAGATAGTAATACGTGTCATGAGAAAATGAAAACAGGGTAATGAGATGGAAGTACAGTAATTTGTATGGCAATGAAGGCCTCTAGGGAATCTGATATTTGAACTAAGACCTGAGTGAGAAGGATATACCATGCAAAGATCTGGGTGAAGAATATTCCAGGTAGAGAGACAGCAAGCACAAAACTTTGACGTGAGAATGTTTGGAATGTTAAAGGATCAGAAAAAGCCAGAATAGTTGGAACATAATGATTGAAGCACAGAGTGGTAGGAAGTTACAGATAGAAAAGGCAATAGGAAAACATGATGGTTCAGTATTTACTTAGAGATTCCAATCTCTTTCACAACAATATATAACTCCTATTAAAATTAGTCATAGGACCTATACCTACAGCAAAGCAATCATTTTCCAATAATCAAGAACCATAGACTGAATCCTCAAGAAACTCCTGGTCTAAATGGGGACAATAGCATATAAAGGGCTAATAATACTCCAAACCACTTGCATCTCTCCTACAGTCTAAGTGTAAAAGGCTCAACTGACCATAAAAAAATGTCTGGAATAGAAAAAGGCAACCTACACCACCTAATCTATATGATAGTTCCATTAATTATTTCTGGCAAATTATTTTTTCCACAAAAATCTGCATTCCATGTACCTTCCCCATTCACAAATTTTTTAAAAAATTGTTAGTCTCTAGATACCTCAGCATTTCTTATACACAAGTTAATTTTAAAACTACTTATCTCACGTTGCTCAATATATCATTTGTAAAGGGATATATGGTTTATAACTAAATTCCATCCTAAAATTCTTCCATTTAATGGCAATTATGTATAGGCTTAATAAAACTTAGAAATTTAATGGGGCCGGCCTGTGGCTCACTCGGGAGAGTGCGGTGCTGATAACATCAAGGCCACGGGTTCGGATCCCATATAGGGATGGCTGGTTTGCTCACTGGGTGAGTGTGGTGCTGACAACACCAAGTCAAGGGTTAAGATCCCCTTACCAGTCATCTTTAAAAAAAAAAAAAAACTTAGAAATTTAAAATTGAAACTTGAGAGCATTTACTGATGATCTTAATAGTTATTTAGTGATCAAAGACCTTTATCCAAAAATGCAGGTAATAAGAAGCAAACTAATATGAAGTTATTCATATTAAGACCAAATTAGATATTCATTTATTTAGAAATATTTGATGAGAACCTATCTAGCAGGTTCCTAAGCAGTTTCCTGTGCTTCCAGACTATTTTCAACCTATTTGGCAACTTGCTTGGCTGTTAGCCAGGAATGATGTCTTCCTTATTCACCAGTGATTGTATTTCCAGTGTCTAGCATAATGCCTGGCACATACTAGATATGATGTTGACTGGATAAAATGCAAATGTGATCATGTCACTACTTTGCTCAAAATTAGAAAGTGACACCCAAATGCCTTTAGGATCCAGTCTACAAAGCCTTGAGTAAGATGCTTACTCCTGCCTACATATCTAACATCACCCTTTGCCATGCCCAGTGATATGGATTGTGTCCCCAAGTTTTATGTATTAGTATCTTGATCCCCAGTGTGACAGTTAAGAGGGTAGGAAATCCTACTATGGTAATTGCAAGTTGGGGCCTTGAAGAGGTAACTAGATTGTTGGACCATGCCTAACGAATGGATTAAATGTTGGTCACGGGTGTGGTTCTGAGGGCTTTTAAAGGAGAGTGCATGAGGAACTCTCTCTCTCTCTGCTCCACCATTTCTGCCATGTGAGACCCCTGGGTCAGGGTTGCCACCATCAAGACCCTCACCAGATGTGTTCCCTGGACTTTGGACTTCACAGCCTCCAAAACTGTAAGCAATAAATTTTGTATTCTTTATAAATCATCCAGTTCCAAATATTTTGTTATAAGCAACAGAAATGGACCAATACACCCCCTTCGCCCTCTACCATCCAGCCATATGAACTTTTATTCCTCCATTGCGCCACATTCCTTTCCACCTCTAAACCTCTGAGCCCATTCCTTTCTGCCTAAAGTGCTTTTCTTCTCTACTCCTCCCCCTAACTCTAGCTCAGCTTTCCTATCTCAGCCTGAATATTGTTTCCTTTGTTAAGTCACCACAGAATCCCCAAATCTGAGTTAAATGCCTGCTCTATGTGCTTCTTGTACTTCCCCTACCATAGCACTTATTATACTGTACTGTAATTGCCTCTTTAAAGTCTGTGTGTGCCCCACTGGGATGTAAGCTCCATGAAAGCAACAACTGTCTAGCTTGCTCATTACCCTCAGCACCTGGCTCAGTGCCTAAAACATAGCAAATGTACAGTAGCACTTAAAACTAAGAGGGCAAAGGACTGTATGATTAGGACATTTTGAAAGTACCTAGGACTACTATCTGAGCACTCTTCCAGTGAAAGCCATGAATGTCTATGAAGACCTACCTGAATTTGTGTTCTAGTGTAAGGTACCCATTGTCTAAAATCCTTCCACCTTAGGCCCACTTACTGTTCAACACTCATACCTCTCTGTGGTATGGTAGACATTTGCATATACCTTCTATAACAGTAGACTATGGTATATGTTTTTATAACATGGATATATATAGTAAGGTTTTTTTAAAGGTTTATTTACTTCTATAATTTATGTTCCTTAGAGAAAGAGATAGGTCATTTGAGTCTTCATAAACTGCTCTGTACAAAGTACAATGAATACTAAGACACAGAAAGAAATCAGTGCATTTTCATTTTGTATGTAGAGATTGTCTTAGTTAAATCTTTATAGTAAGGTTAAGATTAATAATTACACTGAGTTTCCTTAATTCAACAAATATTTAACATATATTAGCACTGGTAGGTGGCTCAATAACTGTTGACTCAATATCATTTATTTGATGCTATGAGATATTAAAAGAAACATAAGACACAATTCTTATTCCAGAACAGTTTTAATCTAGTCCAGTGATAAGATATAGACATATGTGAGATGTAGCAAACGCACAGGCTTTGAAATCGGACAGCTAGAGGTCAAGCCCTAGCACCACCGTTTACTAGCTACATGATCTTCAGCAAATGACTTAAGTGGTCTGCTATGATTTGAATGTTTGTCCTCTTCAAAACTCATGTTGAAATTTAATTGCCTTGTAACTGTATTAAGATGTGGGGCCCTTGCGAGGTGATTAGGCCATGAGGGCTTCACCCTCATTGGTGAGATTGGTGCCTTTATAAAATGATGAGTTTGGCCCCTTCTTGCCCTCTTTTGCCTTCTCACTTTCTGCCATGTGATGATGCAGCAAGAAGGCTCTCATCAAATGTCAGCACCTGGACCTTGGACTTCCCAGCTTCCAGGCAATAAATTTCTATCAATTATAAATTACCCAGTTTCAAGTATTCTGTTATAGCAGCACAAAACAGATGAAGACAGTGGTCTAAGCCTCAATTTTCTCTTCTGTAAAATGGTGACAATAATAAATGCTACTTCATAGGGTTGTTATAAAGATTACATCAAATAGGCCAATGAATATAAAGTGCTAGCATGGTACCTGGCACAAAATAAGCATTCAATCAATGTAGATTATCATTTATATAATATTGGATAGTTATTCACACAATAATAAATATGTAACTGTTTAAAAGAATGGGAAAGATAATTTAAGTATGCAATCTAAAGTGGGAAGAGCTAGTCACAAATTTCATATAAATAACAGGATACAGAAATTTTTCTGTTATATTTTTAAAATAAGAATCTGATAAAATTTTTGGAATGCTTATTAAAATAAGTAAAATTTAGTGAGCTATTTTCAAGTATGATTTGTATAGCTCATGTGTTCCACACCTCTATTAGGCATAAGAGAGAGTGTGTGTGTATTTTTTAGCTCCAATTATTTAATATTACCTAATGAATATTCTTTCTTTACTTTTTGCTTTCCTTACTTATCCATCTAATGGTTGCTGCCAATGAAAAATGCAACAGAATATGTTAAGTCCACTTTATTCTTTCAATTTATGTTAGAGGAAACACTTCTTCCCCACTCCCGATTTTCCCTTCCATGTGAAAGAGTTCCATTACTGTAACATTTTTGGTCTCTCTCCAGAGCTTTACTCACTACACCACAGAAGCGTTTTAATGCCTTACCCAACTTTTAAATTTGGGAAGATTAAACTGAACATGCTCACCTTGATCCAACACTATTCGATTGGCAGGTTAAGACTACTTAATTCTGGAGTTCAGTTAAGGGACTCATTTTGCTCTCCTACTAAGCTATATCCTCCTATCTGGTCGTTATCAGTAAAAAATATAAGTTTGAGCTCCCATCTGCCTTTCTGTTTTATTTCTCAACTTGTTCAGATTCCAAGTGAGGAAGAAAGGTAGTATTACTGGACTCCTTAAAATATTCCAACAAGTTATTCACCTATCTGGTCGTTATCAGTAAAAAATATAAGTTTGAGCTCCCATCTGCCTTTCTGTTTTATCTTATTTCTCAACTTGTTCAGATTCCAAGTGAGGAAGAAAGGTAGTATTACTGGACTCCTTAAAATATTCCAACAAGTTATTCAAAAAAATATTTATTTAAAGTTCTATTGTGTAGGACAATGATATGATCATGAACAAAACATAGTTTCTGCCATCACATAAGAAGGCAGTCTGTCACACAGAACAATTTTCAGGAATGCATTAGATCACAAAAATAACAATCATTGGTAACATCTCCTTGTATTGAGAATTCAATGTTTTGAATTACAGACAATAGGCATATCTACTACACATTGTGAATTTAAAACCTTGTTATGATAAACGTCTATTCCTTTGGTGATTAGTACTGAAGGTACGGTCACAGTTGTAAATGTAGAACCCCCTGCTTCCAACTCGTGTATACACTATAGAACTTTGTTTTCCCTCTATAGCTAGCCCTTAATGATTAACTAAGATTGTTTCGAAAGCAGACATCGTGTCTCGCCTGATACATTTACCTACATAAACTCCAGCCCTCAGTCGATCTGGGAGGCAGTCGGGACTTTACCCTCTGGCTCTTGGTTGATGTCTTCTGAAGTAAAAAGCCTTTCCTTGAAGTTGTGTCTGGCAGGTATTACTGGTGATCGTATAGCAGCAAGCACTCAGACCCACACAGGTCAGGAATTCCTCCAGAAGGGGAATCCCATGGAATTCATTCATTACTACAATCAACTTCAATTAATAGAGAGGACTTACATCTGATGTTATTTAAGAATTCAAAAGCCATCTGGGAGGATAGTGATAAGCAAAGAAGTAAATACTAATTTTTTAAAAAGTGTATCTAAAGCATATATCCATAGACCTTCATCTGAGTCTCCTTATTTTAGAAACAGTTCTGGTAAACTGGGTTACCTCATTTCCCAGTTAACTGCAGATTAGAAGCAGCAAGTTGGAAATAGGAGTGTTAGAAACTAGAGAGTGCTAGAGACCTAGATACAGTTATAGAAGTAAAAACAAAAATAGCAGACATAAGAACTCTCTTTGACTATGAACTCCATGAGGGCAGAAATTGTCTTTATCATTCTATACTACATCCCCAGTGCCTAGCATAGTACCGGCGCATGGTAGGTACTCAATAAATAATTGATGAACAACAGAATGTTTGACAAACTGCAAAAGCTAACATTCTGGATCTATATTTTTTATATAGCAAATAGCTCTATACACCTTAACAGACCCTGATAGTAAATCTAGATAAACAACATTGATATTCTTATAACGACACCAATTTTGCAAAAACAAGTAATTATGTCTAGATTGGTCAGTCTATTAAGACAGAAAAAAGTGTAATATCCAAGATGGTAACAATAAAAAAGTTAGTAAGCTTCAATTATCTAAAATATTAATTTAAGACAAATATCTTAATCCCCAATTACACTGGATGAATGGATTGTTAATACAAAATCTTTGGCAGTAAAAAACCCACCTATTCATTATTAATTCTCAGGCAACACTGTAGTAATTTTTAATTTGATTAACTTACTTGAAATGCTATATAAATACTACTGAGAAATAATAATACAGTAAATCTATGAGGGGTCTTCAAAAAGCTCATGGAAGATTCATATTATCTTTCAATTCTATTTTTCCACAAACTTTTTGAAGTACACTCATACATAACAATACTGATTTTATTATTGCAAAGTAAATATAGCTAAACAAAACAGTATCTCAAAATAGGTGGGAAAAACTCACACACTCAGTTCACTATAAACAGCATTTTGAAGTTTCTTTTCCCAACCTGTTAAAAAAAGAATAAAATATATGAACATATTAGTTTTTTTAAATAAACATATATCATAATTAAATTCATCTCACCCAAACTTTGGCATCATATTCATTTGTGAAAGAACTTTGTCAACTGCCAATCGCTGTGTGAGTTTTATTAAGGAATTATTTCCTATTTACCACATCCCCTGGCTAACACTGAGTGGCAAAGTCATCAACATGATATTATTTTTTAAGTAAAACCATTACACCATTTTCTCAAGATGGGAGAAACTTTTCTTCTTCACTATCAAGGTGCTCAGTGAATTCCAAAATCTTTGGATGTTGTACTACTAATGCTATGAGGAATGTGCCAAGAGAAGGGCAAGAAACAGCCAGGGACCTGACAAAGATAGATCACAAATAATTAGTTACAATTAACTAGTCAGTAAACTCCTGGACACCAGAAGCAGATTATTGTGAATTACCACCACTCAGACCAATTAGCTCAGCTGCTTACTAACTACTTAAGCTTATCTGGGTAAACCACCTAACATCTCACTTCCCATGTGCAGAGGTTAGGATAGGGAACCTCTCTTCCTGCTACATAAAAAATCAAGATTTTGTTTTTGTTTTCTTTGAAAGCATAGAAAAGAGGTGAAAAAATTGTAGAAGGAAAAAAGCTACAACTGCAAAGTAAAAAGACAAGTTACTTAACTAAGGAACTGCTTAATATATTCAGGATGTATTTTGGCCATGAAGGCAAACAGTATTTAAAACTGATTAATGCAAAGCAGTCATTCCCACAATGTTCTTGAATTTTTGCACCACTGAAATGTCTAATAGTTATAATTCTTCCCAAAAAAGAAATCTAGTCAGCCACAGTTTTTCACAATTTTGAATGAGTAATTGGAAGGCAGTAATTGGAAGGGATAAAATATTACTTATTTTGCCTTAAAGAATTAGGAATAAATAAAGCATTTTATTTTGCCTTAAAGAATTAGGGGAAAAAAATTACAAACCTGATATTTTAAAGAATTCCTTAATATCTTCTTTTAATGATTCAAGTTTAATCTCAGGTCTCTGAAGACTGGCCTAATTTGTTTAAAAAGAAGAAAAATAAAAAGAAAGGAAAAGACAGAGGTCAAAAGTAAATCATTTGGGCTGATATTTAACACTAATAAAATTTTACAAAAGAAGTGTCCAAATGTGTATACTATTTAAAAAGTCCTCTTTGAGGATACAGCACCTTAGATTTATCTAGAATAGATCATAAGAAAGACTTCCTTTCTCACCTACCCTTAAACTAGAGGATCTGTTGTAATACACTGAAGTCTACTCAAAATATAAAAACTTGCAGCTTATGAATACTTAACTTGTTCATCTAGCGTCTCAAGGAGAAAAAAATACTAAGATTTTACAAATCTATTCCCTTAATACTATACCCAACATACGAGTATGTGGCACCTACAACTAATGACCAAAAAGCCAGTTACATACATGCAGATGATCTTTGTATAGTATTTTCCTCTTTGGATTGCTGCTCAATGTAAGCATGTATTTGTTGTGCATATTTATGGAAAATACATAAAACTACTAGTTCATAAATGCTTATTAGTGTCTCATCTTTAAGTGCATGCTTTCTATTCTACTGGTTTTCCACACTACAATTCTGACCAAAAATATTTTTTCCTGCTTGTAATGGCTTTGATTACTCTCAAAGTGCTGATGTTTCATCACCTAGCTCTTTTATCAAATTCTAGAAGTGTAATTCTTGAGAAGGCACTTCTATTAGGGCACCTCATAAGCATTTCAAGCCTAAGAAATCAAAAATTGGTCTTATCTTCCACTCACTACCTTGTTCTTTTTGTTCTATTTCTAAATCTTCATCAATGAAATTAGCATCCACCAGAACTTCCAAGTCAGAAACTTCAAAGTTATTCTCCTTTTTGTTTGTTTGTTGGGTTTCTTTAAAAAAAAAAAAATTTAGACATTTACTTGTACACCTTTTGTGGTACAATGTATTGTTTCAATACGTGCACATACTGCACAATGATTTACTTAGGGTAGATAGCACAGTTTGTACCTGTTAGTCCACCACTTCTCCTCCCTCCGACCCCCCCATCCCCCTTTCCTGGCCTCTGGTAACCATTATTCTACTCTCTACTTCTATGAGAACCACTTTTTTTTTTTTTTTAGATTCCACATATGAGTGAGATTATGCAATATTTGTCTTTCTGTGCCTGACTTGCTTGACTTAACATGATGGCTTCCAGTTCCATCCATGTTGCTGCAAATGACAGGATATCATTCTTTTCTATTGTGTATATATACCACAGTTGTTTTATCTATTCATCCATTGATGGGCATTTAGGTTGATTCCATCTCTCAGCTATTGTGAATAGTGTTGCAGTGAACATGGGAGTGTGACTGTCTTTTTGATATACTGTTTTCATTTCCTTTGGGTATAGACCCAGTAGTGGATAGCTGGGTCATAAGGCAGATCTATTTTTAATTCTCTGAGGAACTTCTTTTCCACAGTGGCTATACCAAACTTATTCTCAATTCCACCCTAACTTTTCATGATTCAACCCTTTTCTGAGAAGATGGCACCAGTGACAGTAAGATTTTTTTTTATCTCCCCGATTTACACATTAAAAACTGACCAAACAACTAGATAGCAAAACCAAAATCCCATGGAAAATACTTACAACAAAACTGGGTGACAAGACATCCCCCACAAACCCAAAATACAAGGGTACTTCAAAAAGTTCATGGAAAGATTCGTATTGTCTTTCAATTCTATTTTTCATTGACCTTTTTGAAGTACCCTCATACAAGCAGTTGAAGACAAACCAACATCCACAAGACCTACATGGTATTAGCATCTTTACAGGAAGCAGAGGAAAGCAGTGAGGTATCTGATGTATGTGAAAACAAGAGAACTCTAAAATAGCCAACAAATGTACACTCGAATACATGATGAGCCAATTTTAGAATAGGAGCTAAAACTGGAAAGGGTTTTGCCTAATCCAGTATAGCTGTTGAGGTCTGAAGAGACTGAAGCAGTTTAGCACCTATGAATTCTTGAAACTGACCAGTCAGGGCTCCCTTTCCAGACAAGGTCACACTGAGGAGAAAATGTTGATAGAGTAATCAAAATTGAGGATGACAGGGAACTAACTCAATTAGTTTAAAACTGGTAAATCTATAGGAACTGAACCCCTGGGTAACCAAGTAGTAAATGAGGGGAAATAATTCTTTATAAAAGTTATTCCAGCCAATAACTAAAATAGATATCATATAATTAGACTATCACAATTTTGCAACCCCCACTAAATTACTAACTCTAGGCATTGATCAGGAACGACTATTAACACAGCAAAAGAGACAAGCAGACATTATGTGCTTCTCAATGAAAGAACACTCTACTGTCTATTATCATGCCTCAGGGATGACACCTGAGTCTGATGAAGCCTCTGGGTCCAGCTGTCAACTTATAAGGCATGCAAATGACAAAAGAACATGCTGATCTGTACCATGAGTTTGCAATCAGAAAAATCCAAGCTGTGGAAAATTCTAATGTCAAATGGCCCAACTCTGCACCTGATAGATTGTAAAGATAAAGAAAGGAAGAGGAGAAAACCTGTAGATTAAAAAAGACATATCAAAAAAAATTTTAATTGTCAAGACTAGGCTATGATGTCTAGGGATATACAGTTGGTTAATAAAACTATCACAAAATGCAGGAAAATGATTATCATAAACATCCGGTTGTCAGGGAGGGAAAAGTTTGTGATTGGGATGGGGCAAATGAAGGGGTTTCTAAAAGGGTTTGTGGTATGGCTGGCAAAGTTTCACTTCTTTGTAGGGTGACTGTTATAAAATCGTTACCCTTATAATACATTATAGATTTGTTTTGTGTATTTTCTGTTTATATTTTATTTTACAATAAAAAGGTTCAAAAAAGAAAAAATATGTCTCCCAATCTAATCCTTCTCTCCATTTTAAAGTCCCTTATTTAGTCTAAGTCCTCATCATTTCTCATTTGTGTTACTCTAACACCTTCTGAACTGCACATCTTGCCACCTTACTTAAATTGCAACCACCCTCCACCTGGCATTCCCAAACCCCCTTACTCTATTTTTTCTTCTTTCTTAGCATTTATTACCTCCTAACATATTGTAAGATTAATTTATTCACTACGTTTATTGGCATAGTGTTTAACTCATTACACTAGAAGTGGTAAGCCTCACTAGGGCAGACATACTTGTCTTTTTTACTGTTGTATCCCAAGTGTTTAGAAAGTTACTTTCACATAGCAGGTGCTCAATAAATGTTTATTACATGAATGAATCAATTTCTCCCTTGTCTAGTCTATCCTGCAGCATTTTCTTCCTAAAACATAAGTCTCTCCTGGCTGTGCTCTCCACAGCATACACAAGAAGTTTAAATTTTTCAGCAGGGCATACTGGGCGCTTCATAATGTAGACCCAACTTATCTCTACAAATCCATCTCCTGCTTCTGCTCCACCAAGATAACAACATCCTTTCTTTTCTCACACCTCCTCTCCACACATACCCTACTCTCTAGTCATAATGAACTATATTCACTGATCTCCCAGCTGTCAAGTCCTTTAAGGGCTCCAGGCTTTTATTCATGTTGTTTCCCCAGATGTTGTACTCCCTCACCAACTTGGCAAACACCTACTAGATTCCAAGACATCACCTCCTTTCCTAACTCCCCTCAGCAAAATAGAGCATTATATTTCTTGGCTATAGCACTTATAATTTTCAGTCCACCTATTTATTTTTTTGACTAGACTATAAATTGCATCCCAAGTATTACCCTGGCATTAATTGATGCTTGACAAAATTATAATGACCAAACCATGTTCTATCCTTTTTAATCAATTTTCTCCCCAAATAAATAAGATATAAATAAATAAAACTTGATGAAATTATTTTTATATTTTTATATATTATTTTTATATATTATATTTTTATATCCCCAGAGGTAAGTGTTTATAATTGTAATAGCCTTCCTGGCACTCTCAGCACACTACCAAATTAAACTGATACAGGAAATCAAAGAGAAGTGATTGAAATTTTTATTTTGAAGATAAATCCTAAAATTATTTATCACACATACAAAAATCAGACAAAGATCTTCTGATCTTATAACTGCTAAAACTATGCATAACATGGTCTTACTACCACGTGATGTGTTACTGGCTCACTCATTGTACATCTTAGCGGCATCCCATGACAGGGGCTTGCGTTGAGCAGATGCACTTATGCTTTGCTTGGCCAACACCAAGCACAGCATACCTTCTGCAGTAGCATCCTCACCTGTACAACATACCATGAGCAAACATGCACAAGCCCGAATATTTAAATATACCAGTGCAGAGGTGCATCCTTTCTCATCAATGACACATTCATAAGCTGTCCCAAACAAATGAAGAGAAATAAAAGAAGCAACTTTTTTTCTGGGATCTACCCAGAAACAAGTAAATTTGGAAGCACAATAGTGGACTATGCAAAAGTGTTGTTTCTTAATATAATTTTTAAATTAAATATTTTTAAATAAATAGAACTTTTCAGAATCCTTGGATGTGACAGAGCAGTTTAAAAACCACTTGGGACTAAATTAGAGTAGGAATTTGGCATCAAAAGATCTGGAATCTTCTCTCAGCCTTATTTACTAGCTTGGCCAAGTCATTTAACCTCCCTGCATCTCAGTTTTCTTTATGTAATAGATAATAAGTGAGAGCTAAAAAGAAACAATTACAATAACACATCATCAAAAGATCTGGAATCTTCTCTCAGCCTTATTTACTAGCTTGGCCAAGTCATTTAACCTCTCTGCATCTCAGTTTTCTTTATGTAATAGATAATAAGTGAGAGCTAAAAAGAAACAATTACAATAACACATTGAACTTTCAGATCAAAACAGAACTGTGGTTACTAGAGGTGGGAAAAGGAAAGAAGGTGGGGAGACAGCAAGAAATTGGTTAATGGACACAAAGATTGATTACATATTATAATGATGAATATGCTAATTATCTTGATTTAATCATCACATATTGTAC